TGAGAAATCGGTGAGCCCACCTACGTTGTCATTTAGTACCCTCCGGTCAGTCGATTCTGACTCACAGCGACCCCGCGTGACAAGACCGCCTTTCTTGTCCCATTTTTCTAGGCTTGTCATCTTAAAGTCAGGAGCTGGGTCATCGTGGGTTATGCCTTGCGCTTTAACTAACCGCAAGGTCAGCGGATGGAAACCCCCAGCCACCCCGTGGGAGAAAGAGGGGTGAGTTAGTTAATTGTGCCAACCTGGCCGATAATCACATGTGGGGCTAATTGAAAGGCGGAGGGATAAATGAGTGGTGAGCCTCGCCTTTCTAGTTCTCGGGTCTCTTGCTTTGTGATGGTTGCATCGGGTGCAGCTGCCTTAGCAGTTCCCTGCTTCAGCTTGCAAGATTGACTTCCTGCAAGACATCCCCAAGGAGAAGCCGCATGGATCTATCCCGATGCAGCTCTGGGTGCTGGAGCAGCCGTGTGGAGACCCCTGCTAGTGCTGAGATGCTTATTCGTTCACTGACTCAGCTTTCCTCCTGCAGTCGGCATCATTGCCTCTGTTTTGTGAGGTGGAGGACTTTGTGGACTGGTGCTGGGTTAATGGGTTAATGTTGGACTTGTGGGCTTGGGCAGCATTGGGTTGGGATGTTTTCGTGATGCACGCTTTCTTTACATAAAACTCTCTCATACATGAGTTGCTGTGGATTTGTTTCTCGAAAGTACCTAGACTAACACAAGGGAGCTTCCTTTTCTACTCCCGAAGTAAAGATTTAAGTCTCAGAAACCCACACGAGCCGTTCTACCTCGTGCTTCAAGGTCACTAAGGGTTCGAAGAGACTCCAAGTTTGGTTGGGTTGCGTTCACCTTATTGGGAGCAGGTCACCAAGTGGTTCTCTGGAGTAACTGCAGGGTGAGTTGAACCCCCAAATCTCTGGGTTATCAGCGGAGGCGGAGCCTCGGCCTCCAGGGGCTCTCACGACATCCACGTGGTTTCTCAAAGCACCGCCCCCTGGACTACGCATTAATAGGGTCGCTCTGAGTCAGTGGTGCTGTAATACGTAGCAGCTTTCACTCGGTTCATAAATTTTATCCTACTTAAAAAACCAAACCAGAGGGGGAGAGGGAGGGAAAAAAGGAGCTGATACCAAGGGCTCAAATAGAAAGTAAATGTTTAGAAAAGAATGCTGGCAACCTAGGTACAAATATGCTTGATACTAAATAAATCCATAAAATATGCTGGATACGATGGATGGATGGATGGTTATAAGCCCTGTAAGAATCCCCAGTAAAATGACCTTTTAATAAAAAATAAAAAGATTAGCAAGAGGAAAACACAGGAAGGGGGTGGGGTGCTAGGGAGGGAAAGGGAATTGCAGGAGTCAAAAAGGAAGGCAGGAGGGGATACGGAGCATTAGCACGGGTTGTGATTGCACCACTCATTTTAAAGCCAATTTAACCATGGGGGGGTGTGAGGGGGGAGGGCCCTCTAAAATGGATATGGCGCTAATTGTACAGTTCCCCCTGATATGCGTGAACGATTGAACTATTGAATTGTATGGTATGTCAATTATGTGCCAATAAAACTGCTGGGAAAATAAAATGAAAAACCAGCTGACTTCTGACCCACGGCGCCCCCGTGCGTTGCAGAGTAGAACTGCACCCAGAGTAGAACAGGGTTTTCAGGCTTCCAGGTAGGTAGATCACCAGGCCTTTCTTCCCCCATTTGGGTTCAAACCGCCAACCTTCCAGTTAGTAGGCAAGTGCTTAACGAGCCCTTAGGGACCAGGGACTCCAGCCCAGGGACAGGCTCTGCTTGACCTCTGAGACCCTGGGCTCTTAGACATTGGGACGGTCCACAAACACCCTGCCTCTCTCTCCATCCAGACCCCTAGGAGTACTGCGCTTCCCACCGCTCCCCCACCCCCACCCCCGCCATGCCTTTGTGGTCAAGGGACGCCTTTGGTCCACGTGTAAGGGACATGTGTCTACCAGGCAGAAGCTTTCGGAGTCCAGGCAGCACCAGGGTGCCCTGTTGGGCTCTAGGTGGATGACTCACCCCACCCCACCCCTGCCCCAAGTAAAGTCACGACTTTCTATGGAGGTGCTTGAACCATTTGGACCACCCAGGAGCTTTATGAATGAATGGCTAGCAGGAAGTAAATTAGCTGTGGCGGCACTGTGGATTAAGCATTGGGCTCCTAATCACAAGGTCGGTGGTTCGAATCCCACTGCCTGCTCTCCTAGAGAAAGATGAGGCTTCTGGAGGTATTTACAGGTTCCCAAACGTAAGGAGCAGTTCTACTGCGTCCTACAGGTCCTACAGGGTCTCTGTGCGTGGGAATCGACTCACAGGTAGCGGGTTTGGGCTTGGGTTTAGGCTAGCGGTAAAGCGCTTTTTTTTTTCCTTTTCTTTTGGAGATGAACTTGTTTGTCGAAAAAGGCTTGTCCAAGTCCATTTCTATTTTACTTCTCTCTCTCTCTCTCTCTCTCTCTCTTGCTCTCGCTCTCTCTCTCCACTCAGACCACTATTTAGGTTTGAGGGATAAAAAACCTAGAAGAATCCCACCCCACCCTACCCCGGCCCAAGGGAGGGTTTAAAAAAAACTCACTGCCATTGAGTCGATGCCAACTCACAGTGATCCTATAGAGAATACAACTGCCCCCTGTGAGTTTCCCAGACTGTAACTCTTTACGGAAGTAGAAACCCACAGATCAGCTGGTGGTTTTGAACTGCTGACCTTGCAAATCACAGCCCAGTGTGTAATCATTACGCCGCCAGGGCTCAGCTTTGGTCTTTAACAAAACATCATATATATATAGTGCCCATCCCAAGAAAATGACATTCACAACGATATCCTATTCATTTACCCTTCGTATATGGGGAGGGGGGGTTCATCGCCCACCCACATCTCTTCCCTGGAAGTAGAGAAATTGTGATGCCTGGGGAGTTCTCCTGTTCCCACTCTCTTACAAACAAGCTGGGAGAAAAGGCAGGCTCCACCCTTTATTCCCAGGTTCTGGCTTGGTGGCACCTGACATCATGGTCCAGGTTTCCCACCCCGACACTGGTCAGGTCTAGGGGGACTTGGAGTGGAAGAGGTCTGAGGAATGAGGAGTCACAGAGCCAGAGGGTTGGGGTGAGAACCCAGGAGGGTGGGGTAGATGGGGCCAAGGAGCAAAGGAGAGACGGGGAACAGAGGAAAAACAGAAGGGTTAGGGGGACAGCAGAGCGGGGTGAGGGTTATGAAGACTGAGGTAGTTAGTTTATTGTGCCAACCTGGCCGATAAACACATGTGGGATTAATTGAAGGGCGGAGAGATAAATGGCTTGATGAGCCTCGCCTGTCTTGTCTCTTGCTCTTTGATCATCAGACCAGTGTGCGGCTGCCTTGCTTGTTCTGTGCCTCAATTTGCAAGCTTCACTACCTGTGGGACACCTAACCCGTGGACTATGTCGCTGTAATTTGAGGTTCCTTCAAGACCTGCTTTGCCACACAATTGGAATTTACATCTCTTGAGCTGGGGACTGTCAGACCCTGTCATCTGGCTGACCGTTGGTGACCTGCCTTGCTGTCTGCTGCCTGTGCCCGGATAGCCTGACTTGCTCTACAGAGGACTACCCAGAAGCCCTCAAGACTTGAAGGACTGCCAGTGTCTCACAACTGTCTCAGGGGAGTGAGCTGCACTGAGCCATTTCTACTGGTGTATAATTTAATGAACTGTTTATTTCTTATGTTATGTATCTATCTATCTGTATAAATATATATAAAACTATTAGCATTATGATTTTGTCTCTCTAGAGAACCCTGTCTAACACAAAGACCAAGGGGCCAGAGATGCTGGGGAGTGGGCGTGGGGGTGTGTGAACAAAAAGCAGTAGGAAAGGAAGGAGGCTCCAAAGCAGGAAGGATGGCTCAGGAGATTGAGGAAGTGTGAGAAGCTAACACTGAGGAAAACAGGACGAGGACTATATTCCCTAAACTTAGAGGGAATCTGCAAACCTGGTATTCCAAGGTGGGAATGCCTCCAATTTGGTCAATTAGAGATGAAGTCCAAGTACATGATCCTGCTTTAAGTAGCATTCCCACAGATTCTCTCTTAACAGCTATGCTGCCTTCAAGTGAGCACATGGTGCATTTTATCTCCCTACAGAAGCACACATCCTGTTGCCATCCCGTCCTGTCCATCCCGCTGTGACACCCAACCTCCCTCCTACCTTCCCCCCCAATGCAGGTATTAGGTTTCCTCACCTGTGAGCTCAGGGACCTTACTGTAGATTCCACCCACCTTGTGACACATGTCACTCCTGAATATGCATGCCTTATGGCGACCTATAAATGTCCCAAGACAGTGAAGACCTCTCTTCTCCCACCTCCTCGTGACCTCCACGTGGACCACCAAGAGGGACTCAGGTGCGCATACCATAAAATGTGTCTGACGCCTTTATTTTATTCTCTATATCTTTCTTATTCTCTACGACTTTACTCTAATTATCATCTATTATCCCTGTACGATTGCGCTTTTCCGGTTCTTCGGTTGTTGGAGACTGGTTTCCTCTGACAAGGAGGGGCACAGAGGCCCCCTGGACAGGGAGGGAACCCCTACCTACAAGGGGTCCGGGGAGTCCTTGCTGGCAGTGGAGCCCGAGACTGTGCTGGAGGCTGGCCGGCTGCTGGAGCTGTGGCTTCCACTCGCCTCAGAGCTGGCGCCCCCCTGGCCGCTCGGGCCCATGCTGGAGGCCGGGTACTCGGTGGAGGTGCTGCTGGGCTGGACCGTGGGGCCCAAGCTGGCCGAGCTGGAGTTCCCGAGCTTGGTGTGGCTGGACGCCTTGACCTCGCTGGCGCTGGGCAGACCAAAGGTGACGTGGCCCACGTTGGAGGTGGTGGCGCGGGCCCCGCTGGACGTCAGGATGCCGTTGGTCCGGTGACTGAGGATGGAGCCGGGGACGTGGGCGGTGCTGTGGGCGGTGCTGTGCGCGCTCATTGCGCCGCTGGAGCTCGCCTCTGCCTTCTAAATCGCCTCGGCCAGCTCCTTCATCTGGAGGAGAAAAGCCTGCTCCCGGGCCAGCTCCCGGGACTCCAGCTGGGTGGGGGTGGGGGGAGGGGAGGAGTCAGGCTCCAGGGGGGCCGAGGCAGGGGTCCCTCACTGCCCGCCTGCCTGTGCCCACACTCACGGACTTCACCACCTGGCTCCGCAGCTCCTCCTTGCTCATAGGATAGTCATCTTTACCCTCAAACCCTGGGGAGTCCTCCCTGGGTCGGGGAGACAGAGGAAGACTGGACTGAGCCGCCCACCCTCGTCCCCCAGAACCCCATCGTCTCAAACCAAGCATGCTTTGGCACACAAGGCTGCGTGCTGTTCTGGCACATACGTCGTGTCACGTGAGGTGCACAAGGTTATGACAGTGGAAAGGAATGGGATGTATATAATGTAGTATAAGGGGAGGCGTATGTGATGCCAGGAGCCCTGGTGCCATCGTATTTACATGTTGGGCTGCTAACCACAAGGTCAGCGGTTTGAAACCGCCAGCTGAATTTGACCGTAAGTCAGGGAGTTGAGCTTTGTGTGTTTGTTTTTTTTCTTGCCTTTTTTGTTTTGTTTTGTTTTGTCTTGCTTTTTGAGCATTTAACCAGAACCCAAGCTAGACAATCCTCTCCACGACGGACATCATTCTCCTAGCCCCTAAATCACCCACTCCCGCGATCTCTCCATGGCCCCTCAGCTATGCCCACCCACTTTCTGGAGGCCTGGATTGGTCTTCTGCCCAACCCCCAGCCGCTACCCCTCTCCCCACTCCCCTGCCGACTCTCCAGCCCCTCCCATTCTCTCCTGGCCTCTTCCGATCCTTACAGGTTTTCCGGGACCTGAAGCACGGTCACCTTCTTCCGCACCTCCTCAGAGCTCTGACCCAGCGCCACCAGGGCAGCGCTGCCCAAGGAGGAGGAGGTGTTGGTCTGCGAAGAGAAGTCGGCCCTGGGTCACACCTCGCCAGGTTCACCCTGGGCCTCCATAGCCCCGCCCACTCCCCAGGCTCCCAGGCTCCAGCTCAGCCTCCACGATCCCGCCCACTGGCTTTCACGGGCCCCGCCCACTGGCCTCCACTTCGCCGCCCACCCAACCACAGCCCTCGGTTCCACGCGCTTCCCCCCGCCCCCGCTGGCCGCCACAGCTCCGCCCACGCCTTCCAAGTCCCCGCCCCCTCCTCCTGGCCCGGCCCACCGGCCCGCCCACCTTGACCTCCTGGTAGGCCTGTGCGCTCAAGAGCTGCACCAGCCGCTTCTCGATGAGGGCCAGGAAGAGGCCTATGTCACGGTCCCGCATCTGGGGTTTGATGCCCAGGAGATCGTTGATGACGGAGCTGTCGCAGTGGGCCTGCGTGAACAGGAGCTGGAGACCTGAAGGAGTGATGGGGTGGCGGGGGGCGCCCGCTGAGTACCAGCCCTCTCCCGCTGAAGCCCCCAGTGCCTTGGTCTCTGAGGTCGGGAACCATGCCGGGCAGCGGGCAGGGATGTCAGGAATGCCAGGTGGTGAAGCCAAGTGGAAACCGGCTGCATGAAAACCCACTGCCATAGCGTGGGGCTCTTAGCTACCCTCCGTGGGGTTCCTGAAGCTGGGAATCTTCATGGGAGCAGGCAGCCTTTTATTCCTTCCTCAGAGTGGCCGGTGGGTTTGAACTAACCCACAGAGCTTCCAGCGGCTCTTTCCAACTCTCTCATTCCAATCCACAACGACCTTAAATAGGTTTTCCAAGACTGTGAGTCTGCATGGGAACAGACAGCCTCTACTTTCTTCCTTGGAGCGGCTAGTGGGTTTAAACCGCCCACCTTGCAGGCTACCAGCCCACCACTTAAACCCATAAAGCCACCAGGACTCCTTTCATAGCGTCGCTCTCACTCACTGCCATCAACAACCTCCTTGGCATCAAGGGGCATCGTATCTCGTGTCTCGCAGTGGGGCCCTAAGGTCTTCTCTGTGCATTGGCTGCTCTGAGCAGGGATATCGTCCTCAAGGCTTGGTGGGCCAGGGTGTGCTCCACTCTCTCTTCCTCCCCCTTCATTTGCTCCCATGTGCTCTGATCAGACAGGTCCATCTCCCTGAGCTGCAGCTTCAGTGCTGTCCCCTGAAGTGAATGCTGCTGGGGGGTTGGGGAGCTGTCCATGTAGTCGGGATTAGGGCCAGCCCCTCACACCTCTTTTTTTTTCTTCTTTTTTTTTCACTCAAACGACTATTTAGGTTTGAGGGGTAAGGAGTCTGGAGGGATTGTTTTGTTTTGTTTCTAAAGAAACACACACACACACTATATATATATATATGTGTATATATATATATATATATATACAGCCCATCTCAAGAAATGAATCAGCAACACTAGCCTGTTAAACCTCTATATATGTGGGGGCTTTTTAACATAAAACAAATGTTTTCTTGAATTATAAGACATTCTTTATGAGTGTTGTGTGTGGATCCAGAGGAATTGGCCTATAGAGATGAGCCAGCACATTGATAAAGGGACCAGCTTCCAAAAAAACAAACCCACTACCATCAAGTCGATTCCGACTCATGACGACCCTATAGGACAGGGCAGAACTGCCCCTGTGAGTTTCCAAGACTCTTTAAGGGAGTAAAAGACCTCTTCTTTCTCTGGAGGGGCAGCTGGCGGTTTCGAACTGCTGACCTTGCAGTTAGCAGCCCAATGTGTCACCCACTGCACCACCAGGGCTCCTCAGGGAAGGAGAAACAAAAAGGCAGTTTCAAGACAGTTCCATCTTAGTGTAAATATGACCCAAACCCACTGAGTTTTGACTCATAGAGAGGACTAGAACCGTTCCGTGGGTTGTCTGGGCCTGTGAATTTCACAGACTACACCAAAACCGCAAACTCGCTGCCATCGATTCGATGCCGACTCATGGGGACCCTATAGGACAGAGGTAAAACTGCCCCCAGGGGTTTCTGGGACTAATTTCATGGGAATAGAAAGCCCCATCTTTCTCCTACTGCTGGTTTTGAACTGCTGACCTTGTGGATCGCCGCAGCCCAACACAGAACCACTATTTCACAGCCTCATCTTTTCCCAGCTGAACTGTGGATGAGCTCCAGCTGCCGGCCTTGTGGGCCCCTGGAGGCTGGCTCTGGGTTTGTAAGCCACCCCGTTGGCGGGAATTCCACATGGAGCTCTGGGAACCTGGGAAATTGTCTGCATGGCAACCGGCCAGCAGGCGACCAACCCCATTTCTTTGAAAGTCTGGAAGAAAACAGAATCGAGCCTATCTGCCTTGACACAAAGTGGTTTCCTGGGGCCAGGACTTGGGCAGAGAGGAGCTAGAAAAACGGAGGCAGTTTGGGAGATGGGAAATGGGAATGTTTTCTCTCTTGGGGGTGGAGATTACCAAAGTGGTCCATTTTCCTTTTGCTGGGCTTATTTGTCTTGAAAGTACCAGGGATTGCCAAAAGAACCAACCAAAGAACTCTCTTGGAAAACCAGCCAGAATTCAAATGTCCTTTCTTTTCCAGTTTTCCTTCTTCAGTGCCCAGCTTTCCCGTGTATATGAGACGGTTGAAAGGACCACGGTTTAGGTCTGGGTGCACGCTAATCCTCCAAGTGACACCTTTGCTCTTTTAACACTTCGGTGTTAACCCTTAACACTTGAAGTGTTAGGTGGTGATAGGTTGATGATGCCAACCAGGCCAATGGGAACATGTGGGCGGAGTTTGATCAGATCGCAGATTGATTGGAGGGCAACCCAGATAAAGGAAGATGGCTGGTATCCCATCTCTTTCTTGTTCCCTGGTGAATCGGACCAGTGTGCTGCTGCTTTAGCTTGTTCTCTACCTCCACCTGTGTGCTGCACTACCCATGGCCCAAGCCAACCATAGACCCCGTAGCTAGAGCTTGAAGCTCCTTCGAGACCTGCTTCACCGCAATGCTGGTGCATTCATCGCTTGAGCTTGAGGCTGGTGGATTCTGTCCCCACGAATCACTTGAGGTGGAGAATGCATCTGGCCTGCTTTGCTAAGCTCCAGTGTTACTGACTGTGGCTGACCCACCCTGTTGTCTGATGCCTTTGGGACCAGGAAGCTCAGTGAGTTGAAAAACTTCTAGTATATTAACTGCTCCATGGAAGTGAGCTGAAGTGAGCCCTCCAGTGGAATCCTTCACTGGATTTTTTGACTACTGCTTACCAAAGTGTTGAACAACCTCCACTCCCAGAATGCACCTTGCTTGTTCCATCTTCACGTATTTACCTTGCTGACAGAATACCCATCTCCTCCTGATTGGTCAGTTAAATACTCAATGGGCGAGCTCACCCTCCAGCACCACTGCTTCCGGGAAGCCCTCCTCGTTCCCACAGGAGAGCCCTACTCTTGGTTTGCCACTATTGTGAAATTGTGGTCATTTTTGAACAAGGGGGACCTGTGTTTTCATTCTGCCCAGGGTCCTGTAAGAGAGGTGGCTAGCCATAAAGGTCGAGCAACATAGTGGGGCAGGAGGAAAGTAAAAGGAAATAGAGGAAAGAACTAGGAACCAAAAGACATTTATAGAGGTATAAATATAGACATATATGTATGTAAATACATTAATATATAACGATAGGGATATGGGTATGTACATATATTTACATGTTAAGTATTAAGGTAGCAGATGGACATTGGGGCCTCTGAACACAAGAATACTTTGTCCTCATAACCTGGAATTCTGTGATGCTCACCTTCCCGACACAATCACTATAGACAAAGCGGGTGCATACACAAATATGGTGAAGAAAGCTGATGGTGACCGGCTATTGCAAGATATAGTATCTGGAGTCTTAAAGGCTTGAAGTTAGACAAGTGCCCATCTAACAGGAAAGCAAGAAAGGCAAAATGGAGGAAGCACACCAACCTGTGTGATTATGAGGTGTGAATGGGATCAGGTATCAGAAGACCCAAAACAAACAACCATATTGATGCAAACGAGACCCAAAGCCCATCTGTAGACAACTGGACATCCCCTCACAGATGGGTCACAGGAAGGGATGAGTCAGCCAGGATACAGTACAGTACCGACAAAACACACAACTTTCCTCTAGTTTCGTTACTAAGGCAGTGCTTCCCAACCTGTGGGTCACAACCCTTTGGGGAGTCGAACGACCCTTTCACAGGGTTGCCTAAGACCATTGGAAAACACATAAATATTTCACAATATACAATTACATATTGTTTTGTGATGAATCACTATGCTTCAATTATGTTTAATTATGTTCAATTATTAACAAGGAAAATAAATCCTGGATGTCAGATAGTTACACAATGATTCATAACAGTAGAAAAATGACAGTGATGAAGTAGCAACGAAAATAATGTGATGGTTGGGGGATCACCACAACCAGAGGCACTGTATTAAAGGGTCGAGGCATCAGGAAGGTTGAGAACCACTGTCCTGAGGTCAGAGCTGGAGCTGCAGAAGAGGTGTCCCCCTGTGCACACATCCCACCCCATCGCTTAGATGGATTTCCCACCATGTCCACTCATTCATCTTTCACTCCACACACGGGGCCCTCTGTGAACGTGGCAATGGTCACTTCCTTGCTATGACAGATAAAAATTAGTCTCTGATGGGCTCAGCCTTGTTTGGGGTGGTTTTTTGTTGTTTGTTTGTTTGTTTGTTTTCTGTCTCATCTTTCTCTGTACTCCACAGAGCGTGACCACCCAGTCGACCCAAACAGAAAGAAATAATGTTTCGAAGTCAATTATGACATATCGCAAGCTGATGGGACAGATGGGACCATAACTGTTCCCCCTTTGGCTTTCCCAGGTGGTAAATCTTTGCTAGAGCAGAAAGCTCAATCTTTCTCCAGGCACCGCCCTCTTGGTTGGCCTCCCGGTGCTTAACCCGCTGAGCCACCATGGCGCCTCCCTGGACTGCTCTAAAACAAAAGCGAAACTCCCCGTCCTCGATCGACTGGATGCCGGCTCATAGGGACACTATAGGTGAGTTTCTGAGACTGTCAATTCCTTACAGGAGGAGAAAACCCCATCTTTCTCCTGTTGAGAGGATGGTGGTTTCGAACCGCTAACCTTGCAGACCTCCGTGCATGACCACTATGCCACCAGGCCTCCTGGTCCACACACACACACACACACACACACACACACACACACCCCACTCTCCAACAACAAAGTACTCATTTAACTTGCTGCATGCTCTCTCACACACAGCTGTGATGATTAATAGAAATTGCCCAACGGTACCCTAGGCACATGCCATACCTTAGGTATGCGTCCACCTACAGTATCTGGGATGTTCTCTCTGCAAATGCCCAGGGGTCACGTCAATCTTCACACAGGCGCCAATGGCTAGCACAGGTGCCAAGAAGCCAGTTGCCACTGTATACCACCAGGTGGGGCTCCTGCCTGCTCCCCTCCGTAAACACGAACTGTTTCTCTCCATGGTAAACTGGCTGTCTATCTCCAGTCTCATTCTCCAACCGCCCTCACCAGGGACTTGGCCTCCCCACTTTCAAAGGAGGAAATGAACTGAGGAGGAGGAAATGACAGGCAAAGGTTCACAAAGGATGGAGCTGGAATTCAAGCCCAAGCCTGGCTACTTCCTCCTGCACCACCCACCAAATAAACAATGCAAGTAAGAAGGGGATGATGGGATGGATACTGGATGGATGGATGGATGGATGGATGGATGGATGGATGGGTGGATGGATGGATGGATGGATAGAAAGATATATCTGAGAAAGACAGATGGATGGATGTAGGATAGATAGAAGGGATATGAATGAACCTAGGAGGGAAGGTGAATGGATACATGGGCACTGGATACAAAATGGATACATGGGCCCATATGGGAGACCGATGGATGGGTGGGAATTGGATAAGCCTATGGATGAAATATGGATGGATGAGTGTAGGATGGATGAACGGACAATGGATGGATGAACGGACAATGGATGGATGGATAGATGGACAGATGAAGATGGATGGATAAATGAATGGATGGGTGGATGGGCACAGGATAATTGATAGATGAACTGACACTGGATAGGTGGATGGAGAGATGGATATGGATGTAGCCCAGACAGATGCGTGGATAGTCTATGTAGAATGATAGATGGATATAGGGTGGATGGACAGATAGATGGATACAGAATGGATAGATGGGTGTACGATGGATGGACACTGGATGGATGAATGAATAGATAGATCTAGGATGATGGATGGATGGGTGGATACAGGACTGATATGGATGGATATAGCTATAAGATGATTAGGTTGGTGAAGAAAGCTGATGGTGCCCGGCTATCAAAAGATATAGTGTCTGGGGTCTTAAAGGCTTGAAGGTAAACACGCGGTCATCTAGCTGAGAAGCAAAAAGCCCACATGGAAGAAGCACACCAGCCTGTGTGATCACAAAGTGTCGAAGGGTTGGTTATCAGGCATCAGAGAACAAAAAATCATATCATTGTGTGCTCACCTCCCCAATATGATCGCTGAAGACAAATAGGTGCATAAGCAAATTTGGTGAAGAAAGCTAAAGGTGCCCGGCTATCAAAAGATATAGCATCTGGGGTCTTAAAGGCTTGAAGGTAAACAAGTGGCCAGCTAGCTCGGAAGCAACAAAACCCACATCGAAGAAGCACACCAGCTTGTGTGATCATGAGGTGTGATCACAAGGTGTCAAAGGGATGAGGTATCACGCATCAAAGAACAAAAAAAATCATATCATTGTGAATGAGGGGGAGTGCGAAGTGGGGACCCAAAGCCCATCTGTAGGCAATTGGACATCCCCTTACAGAAGGGTCGCAGAAAGGAGACGAGCCAGTCAGGGTGCAGTGTAGCAACGATGAAACATACAACTTTCCTCTAGTTCCTAAATGCTTCCTCCACCACCACCACCGCCTCCCCCACTCCCACTAACTATCATGATCCCAATTCTACCTTACAAATCTGGCTAGACTAGAGTATTTACATTGGTACAGATAGGAACTGGAAACACAGAGAATCCAGGACAGATGATCCCTTCAGAACCAGTGGCGAGAGTGGCAATCCTGGGAGGGTCCAGGGAGGGTGGGATAGAAAGGGAGAACCGATTATAAGGATCTACATATAACCTCCTCCCTGGGGGATGAACAACAGAAAAGTGGTTGAAGGGAGACGTCGGACAGTGTAAGATATGACAAAATAATAATTTGTAAATTATCAAGGGTTCATGAGGGAGGGGGGAGCAAGAAGGGAGGGGGGAAATTAGGAGCTGATGCCAGGGGCTTACGTGGAGAGCAAATGTTTTAAGAATGATGAGGGTAACGAATGTACAAATGTGCTTTATACAATTGATGTCTGTATGGATTGTGATAAGAGTTGTATGAGCCCTCAATAAAATGATTTTTTTAAAAGATGGTTAGGTTAAGGATGGATGGATAGAAGTGGTATGGGTGGCTGTAGGATAGATGGATGTATACTAGAAAAAATACCAGATATATGGATACAGACGGGGCGGACACTGGGTGGATGGGTAGATATAGAATGGATAGGATAGATCAATACAGGATAGACAGAGATTGGATGGAGCTATAGGGTGAATAGATAGGATGGGTTGATGGACACTGGATGAATGGGTAGCTATAGGATGGATAGAGATATAGGATAGATGGATATAGAATGGATGGAACATATAGGATGAGTGGATGGACACTGGATGGATGGGTGGATATAAAATGGGCAGATAAAAGAGGATGCAATCGTGCGTGGAACCCACACGGCCAACCCAGAACATGCGCCTGCACGCTCACCTCATGCTCCCAAATAAGGAAACCCGAGCTGGGGGAGGGGGCACCATGGGTGCTCACCATCCTTAATCTTCTTCAGCAGCTGCCGGATCTCCTGGGAGCGGGCTTCGAGGCCCAAGGACTCTGCGGTCACCTCGTCCAATCGCTGCTGCAACTCTGCCCGCTGCTGCTTGCGCAGGGAGCTCTGGGTCTCCTCCCTGGCCCGGCCACTCCGCATGGCCTCCTGCATCTGTGGGACAAAGGTAGGAGGGGCACTGGCCAGGGGCTGGGGCACTGGGCCTGCTGAAGAAAAGGGGTGGACTGGAGGAGGAGGGGCGGGGCCTGAGGAGGATAGGATGGGCCTGGGGAGGAGGAAGGCTGATGTGGCAAGGAAAGGTAGGGACAGGGCAAGGGGAGGGAGCCTTATAAGGTGCCAGAGAGGAACTGGGTGGGGTGCAGCTAGGGAACTGGGGCCTCCCTCACCTCCGTGATCTCCTCCCTCAAGTGCTCTAGCTCCGAGTTCTGCTCGTTGATGAAGTTGAACTCGGCGAAGTTTCGTTCCTCAGCTAGGGCAGAGCCAGGTAAGGCGGGGTCCAGGGAGACGCGGAAGGACAGGAAAGAGGTATTTGGACAGAAAGGCAAGAGAAGTGGAGAGACCAGGGTCAGGTGGACCAAGACAAGACGCAGAGAAAGAGGCAGGGGACGCAGAGAGAGAGAACAGAAACCCCCGAGCGACCCGGGCACAAACCCCAAGAAGCAGAGCGAGGAGAGGAAACAGGAGCGGGGCGCCAGGGGGGACCGTGGCACAGGAATGGGGAGAGGAGCAAGGATGACAGGGGCAGGGTAACCAGGGGAAGGGATGGAGAGCCGGGGAGGCCACATAGGATCGGAGGCGGGCAGAGAGGAGGGAAGCCGGTGAGAAGGTGGGGGTGGGGGATGTGGGGTGTGTGTGGAAGACCGCAACTTGGGTGCCTCCCACCCAATTCCTGCCTGTGCTGCAGCCCCCAGGTGGAGGCCAGAGACCAGGCCGCGGATGGAGGTGGACACTCAGTCGGTAGGTGCTGGGACGCAGTCCTTGACTCCCTCCCTCGGAGACCCCTGTCTGCTGGCCCCACTCACCCTCCAAGTACTTCTCCACCAGCGTGTCCGGGTCGCTCTGCCCGGTCATCTGGGACAGCTTCTTCAGGACGTCCTCGTAGCGCAGTACCAGCTTCTCCTGCGAGGTCTTGCGGAGGCCTTCGGCCACTTCGCGATCTGGCCCAAGGGACGTGGAAGGGTGAGGGCCCAGCAGGCCAGCGAGCAGCGCTTCAACCCCCTTCCCTCCGCACAGGCCCCGCCCTTCAAAGCCCCCCCGGGGACCCTGCCCCCTCCTATGCCCCGCCCTCCTGATGCCCTGTCCTCACCAGTTGCCCACCCCAACTCTGAGTGCCCAAAGCCCTGCCCTTCAGGCACGTCCCGCCCTTCGGAGACCCTGCCTCCTGAAGCCCCGCCCTCCTGGTGCCCGCCCCATCCAAGGCCCACCCCTCTGCTGCCAGGCCCATCTGGGGACTGCCCTCCCAAGACCTTGTCCGGCTAAGGTCTTCCATATAACCCACCTTTCGGCGGCCCCACCCTCCCTAGCCTCAGACTTTCGGAAGCCCCACCCACTGAAAGCCTACCTTCATTGGGCCCCGCCCTTCCCCAGCCCCCCCCCCCCACCCCCGCATCTTTAGGGCCACACCCTCCCAAGACCCTGCCCTTGGAGGCTCCTCCTCCCGAGCCCCGCCCCGCGTCTGCGCCCCCTGCCAGCCTGCCCTGCCCGGAGCCAGGAGACCTGCACTAGGCACTACCACCTCCCCTCCCTCCGCCGCGCAGCCGGGGCCGTACCCCGCAGCGCCTGCTTCTCCAGGGCCACGGGGTCCGGCTGCCGCTCGTTGTTCTTGAGCATCAGGAAGTTGTGCAGCTGCTCCAGGTGCGCGATCTGCCGCTGCAGGCCCTGCACCTCCGTCTGGCTCTGGGCCACCTCCTTCTCCGCCCGCTCCCGCAGCAGGCCCATCTTGCTCTTCGCTTCCTCCCTGGGGGGCGGCGGGGCAGGGGGCACAGGAGGAATCAGCCCAAGGTCCACCAAGGGCATTGGGAGTTGAGTTGGGGGTGACGCTGGGGCTAGGAGAGGGCCGCCGAGACACACACAGGCTGGGGCAGGAAGGGGAGTCCCTAAGAAGGTGTGGGATCGAGGTGGATGTTTCTCACCCTAATTCACCCCAGCCATTGCTGCCGCCTCTGGAGGTGAGGTATCAGGCTGGGAGCCCCCCAAAATGAGACAAGGGTGGTAAGGGAGGAAACGAAAGGCCCCAAAGAACAGAGGCAGGGGAGGCCTGTGACAAATCCGTGTAACAACATTCAACATGCCCTGGGCGTCCGAGAGGCACCAGCAATGGGACTTGGTCCCCTAGGAGCTGGGTGATCAGTGGGGGAGGGAGGCAATGGGGAAGCTGCATGACTGGATCAGAGTCCGTTCCCATGGTCCATCGCCAAAACATCCAGGCCCATTAGGACGAGCAGGGCCCCTGGTGGAGGCCTGGGTAAAGTGTGGGGCTACTAGACGCGAGGTCAGCAGTTCATGTCCGCCAGCTGCCTCGCCAGAGGAAGATGAGGCTGTCTGCTCCTAGAAAGATGTACAGTCCCGAAAACCCACTGTCCCACAAGGCTCACTATGAGCTGAAACCCACGGGAAGATTGCGAATGAGTTAGGAAGCATCGGGGCCTCTGGAGTCACCTGGGCCCTGCCCCCTGGGGCCCTGCCTACCTGACTGTGTAGGCTGAGGTAGAGGAGACCATGAGATTGTTGACAGTCTGCCGCAGGTGCTGAATCTCCTGGGGGTGGGAGGAGGGTCCCAAAACAGGCCTCACTTCTGATGGCTGGCTCCCATCAGTCTCCTCTCCCCACCCTGCACCTCCCCCCAAAGAAGTGGCATTCCAGTGCCTCCAAAAAGTACACCACCCGCCACCACTACCCCACGACCAACACCCCA